ATAAAACATCCAATAGATAAAGATGTTCTGGTGACAACTTATCAAGATTGGATTTGGTTTTATTTTGGGGAGATTTTCTTTCATTTATTGCATCTCCAGGACACGGTAAATTCCCCTTAGTGGGACATATAACCTGATAGAATCTTTAACCCATCCCTACTCTATCCAAATTGGAAAAAAAAGAAAATGGTTTGGTTATACAAACACAGTCGTTTAGTCTGGATCCACCATGGCAAAGGAATCCACTGGGGGAATCAGTAAAGGTAAAGGTATAGTTGGAGTTGCAGTATGCTATCTACTCCCTGGTTTATCGGCACCCCTTTTATTAAAGGGGTAAAAAATGGCTAAAGCCCACCCAGACAGGGAGCCCACTAAATACCTTAAATGTATCTAATTGAATTTTGGGGTTGTAATCTAACTTACGTTTCCCATTGTGCTCCAGAAACCCAAGAGCCTCCTAAGAGGTGACACAAACAGGGTGACATGCTAAAGATAATATTTGTTTATTGACAAATCAGATAATGGTTTACAGATTTAAAGGAAATCTGTAATTTCTTTACAAATATAGAAACATAAAGGAAACACAGAAGAGTGAAGGCAGAAGAAGGTCCATTGAGTCTGCCCCATTTTTTTAAATAACTTTTTGGGCTGTGTATAGATCTATGTTTATCCCAAGCATGTTTGAATCTACGTACCTTTTACTGACATACTACCTCTCTTAGAAACCAATTCAAAGCATCAACTGCTTTTAAATTAGTTTTGAGCTTTTCTCCTGCTAGTTTGAGGTCATGTCTCCTTGTTCTTGATATTAGCATCATAAACCACTTCCAGACCGGCTAACGTACATGTATGCCACCAGTTTGGAAGCCTAAACCAGGCCGATGCTGCTATATTGGTTTTACAACCCTCTAGCCTCCCAGGCTCTCCTATCCCAGCTGGGAGCATGGCACTGAAGCCAGAAGTTCTGCCGGCTTACCATAGAGGTGGTTGGGGACCAGATCTTCCCTGATCATCTCTATGGTTTTCCTCCCCCATCCTCTGGAACTCACTGCCCCAATCCATCAGACTGTCGCCTTCCCTCCTCACATTCAGGCGCTCCATCAAAACCCATCTCTTCAGGGAAGCCTACCCCACCCTCACCTAACGGCCATTCTCCCACATTCCTCCCACCACTTCATTCCCCTCAGCCACTTCCTACTGTACCATTACCCCCCCTCCCTCCTAGATTGTAAGCTCGAAAGAGTAGGGCCCTCTTACCCCTCGTACGTTGTTTGTTATTGTTGTACTGTGCCATGTATTGTCCCCCCCCCCCCCCCTATTGTACAGCGCTGAGCAAACCCTTTGGCGCTATATAAACTCGATGTAATAATAATAATAATAATAATGGTATTAGAAACCGAAATAAAAAAAAATTGCAACACCCACCATTTTATTCTCCAGGGCCTCTGATAAAAAAATATGTAATGTTTGGGGGTTCTAAGTAATTTTTTTACTAAAAAAAATACTGACCTTTACATGTAAACAAAAAGTGTCAGAATAATCATTGGTCTTAAAGTGGTTCAAAATAATACCTGCCGTAACCTTACTCACAACCTTAATTTAATCAATTGAAAGATGTAGGGTAGAAGGGGGTCAACACGGCCACCAACATGGTGAATATTGGCTGATTCATTTGGAAACAAAGTTCACATAGTGTATGGCCAACCTAACATGTCACTCTTCTCCCTGACCCCCGGATGAAGAGGGGTATTACACTGATTGACAGTACAAGAGCAATTTTCTCTGCTGACCACCAATTTAGAAGGGCATTTTTCCCACTGACCACCAATGTAACTTGACCATGAAGGTTGTAGTTGGGTCTCCCATACACCCACCAGGCCCTAGGTTCCTTCCTGGGTTGCCTTGTGGATGATAGTGTGATCCTTGTGAATGGTTCTGTATTGCATGAATTTTTGTTTTCTTTTTCACAGGAACAATTGCTATTTTTTCTAAAGTAATAATAGGGTCATGTCATGATATTTTGAATAAAAAGTGCTTAGTGATTTTTTTTTTTATTTTACAATTGTATTACTATTGTTATTATTAATAAAACAGTCCTGGTCTATCTAATCCCCATATCATCTGAGGGACAGCATAAAAAATTCTACAAAGATACACATGCACCAATGCAGCCCTCATGCAATCTGTGATTTCAGCAGATAATTGTTGGTATCAATGGTTTTTTATTAATGGGCCATGTTAAAAATACACAACATGGATTTAAAATAGTGTGAGTGGATAAAACTTTGTCTAGGGCAAGCATACATATTATACACAAATTGAGGGATAAATATGCAGGAACGAGTCACCAGAGACTTGTCTATTGGCTGCCTATAACATAAGCATGAACGCTCAGGTCACCTGAGCATAGAGTTCCATGTTTATGGTGCTGATGAATAGAGAAGGAGAGAACACATGAAGACTTAACCCTGGGGTGTGAAATCATGATCTGAGATGATCCAAGCCTTAACCTATCCAAACATGTCCAGAATAATTTTCCAAATTTTGTGACAATCATCTTATAACTAAGACCATCTTTAGCCCTGGTTCACACTGATGAGGTGCAGAATTTGCAGCGTTTTCAGTGTGAATTCCACACCAAATCATAATCGCTCCCCGTTCATGCGAACTGCTGGGGGTGTTTATGTTAAGTTAACAACATCCCGAAAGTGGTCCACAAAACGCAGTGCGATGTGCAGAATCGGATCGCATACGTGTGAATACCCATGCGATCTGATTCTAGTGTAGACCAAAAAAAGGGTCCTGTACGTTTTTGGTGCAGGAGCGGTGGGAATAGAGCCATACAAAATGTAAGGTGCCAAGTGCACCGCACACAAATCGCATGTGATTTGCAGAGGAATGCGGTGTGGTTCCTGTGCGAATCACATGCGATTTACCGCACCGCATGGATGTGAACCAAGGCTCTGTCTAGATGGCTGTTCAAAGTTGTGGCCTGCTATACATATAGCACTTATTAAACAGCTTGTATGTAGTAAAAAAGTAATTTGATGACTGTATAAATTTGGACTCACACTGGGGTTGATTTATTAAATCTGGAGAGTGCAAAATCTTGGGCAGCTCTGCCTATAAACCAATCAGCTTCCAGGTTTTATTGCCAAAGCTTAACTAAACAAGCTGAAGTTAGAAGCTGATTGGCTACCATGCACAGCTGCACCAGATTTTGCACTCTCCAGTTTTAGTAATTCCCCCCCAATGTATTTTTATAAACATGTCTGTTTTGCAGCTGTGTGGATGCAGATTATTACAGAGACATATTTATTTTAGAATCATTTTTGCAATTTATTTTTTTATTTCAGGTACTTATATAGCGCTGTCAATTTACACAGCGCTTAACACATATTGAACATTCACATCAGTCCCTAACCTTCAAGGGGCGTACAATCTAAGGTCCCTAAGTTACATTCATACATACACATATTAGGGCCAATTTAGACAGGATCCAATTAACCTACCAGCATGTCTTTGGAGTGTGGGAGGAAACCAGAGTACCCAGAGGAAACCCACACAATCACAGGGAGAACATGCAAACTCCATGCAGGAGGCACCATGGTCAGGAATTGAACCCATGACCCTCTTACTGCAAGGCAAACATGCTAACCACTAAGCCACTGTGCAATGATTATTTCTTTCACTGAGAAAGGAATATTAATAGTGCAGCACAGTGAACACCCCATGGTCCTATTCCCTTGATTTTTACACAATCGATTCACAGATTTTTTTTACTGTGTCTCTCCCTTCTATATATGCTCTATGTATTTCCAGTATTTTTTTTCTACTGTCTCATAATTTTTCCAGCCATACATGGTATGCTCCCCTTTTTACTTTTTCAGGTTAAAAATTAGTTTTCCTACCACATGCCAACAGTTTATGTTTCAAGGGTACATATTAATATTGTTCCTGGGGGGTAGCCTGTGCAAGCTCTGATCACCAAATCTATTAGGAGCTCAATACTTCACTATGCTCTGCTGGGGAATGGGGTGGTAGAGGAAAGTGTTAAAGGTGAGTATAAACCACCAGAGGAGTTGGCAAAGAAGTGGACCCATAAGGTTGATTTACTAAAACCGGAGAGTGCAAAATCTGGTGCAGCTCTGCCTGGTATTATTATTATTATACAGGATTTATATAGCGCATTTTGTGCAGCGCTTTACAAAATGAAGGCAGATGGTGCAGCTACAATACAATTTGGTACAAGAGGAAACAGAGGACCTGGCTTGTTAAAGCTTACAATCTAGGAGGAAGGGTCAAGTGATACAAAAGGTAATAGCTGTGGGGGATGAGCTGATGGAGGAAATAACAGGTTTACTAGTTAGAAGCAGGATTCTTTAAAGAAAAAGGTTGTCAGAGATCGTCTAAAGGTGGATAGATTAAGAGATCACCGGACAGATTAGGGTAGGTAGTTCCATAGAATGGCAGAAGCTTGGGAGAAGTCCTGAAGGTGAGAATGGGAGGAGGTGGCATGGGAACTAGAGAGCAGGAGGTCTTGGGAGGATTGCTTTGTAAGTATTTTGAATTTTATTCGTTGGGTGGGTGGAAGCCAGTGGAGGGATTGGCAGAGAAGGGTAGCAGACACTGAACGGTTGGTAAGGTGGATGAGTCTGGCATCAGCATTCATGATGGACTGGAGGGGGGATAGCCTATGTAAAGGTAAACCAATGGGGAGGGAGTTGCAGTAGTCAAGGTGAGAGATAACCAGGGAGTGAATTAGAAGCTTTGTGGTATCATTGGTTAGAAAAGGGCGTATTCTGGAGATGTTACAGAGGTTGAGGCAGCATGACTTGGACAGGGATTGGATGTGGGCCTGAAAGGATAGTTTAGAATCCATAGTTACCCCTAGCAGCCTGGCATGCAGGGATGGGTTGATGTGTGGTGCTATTGTTCCTGGCGAAGAAATCAGGTGAAAATTTGCACTCTCCAGTTTTAGTAAATCAACCCCCATGCATTTACTTTAAGTCAAAATACAAGGAAACTTTTACCTCTTTGTAGTTAACATTGTCTTCGGAATCATAACTCTTCCTGTTAAAAGGGTTTGCATCTCTCATCGGCTGGGAAATTCTGTTGTCACTTGACTCTATCATTCTCAATAAGGTAAGGAGAGCTTCTTTCCACTGAGCTGCATTCATTGGCTTATCCCCTTCCAAGTACCCAGTTGCTGAAGTTCTCTCCCCTCCATCATACAGATATGGATATTCTTCTATACTCTTTTTGCCCATTAAGTGCCCTAGAGGAGAAAAAAAAAAAAATACAAGAAAAACAAGCCTGTAAAAATGTGATAACAACACCTTCAATTTATATTTAGTTAGGTAATAGAAAATATTTTATTCAACTGTAGTTTAGCTCTGATCCAAATGGATATTTCAGTTTGGTGTGGTTGCTAGCAAATTGAAATGTAATGCTTCTAATGTATTTCTGGGAATGTTTCCACACAAAGTTCAACCCAACCTCTGCACCATTACATAAACAAATGATGGCATCTAAGATAGGTTCCCTAAAATGTAGAATAAATAAATAGTTGTGCTACCTTGCCATATGAGTCGCCAAGAGATGTAACATTCATCAGGTCATTCATTTAAGTCCTGAATGTCCCTTTTAGGTGGAATTGGGACTAAAGTGAAAGAGAATTGTGCTCTCAGTTTCTGTACATTTCAGAAGACTTTGCTTAGTGCAATATCCTGGTGTATTGGGTGCAGTTATCTACACTCACCTGCCACTTTATTAGGTACACCTTGCTAGTGCCAAGAAAATATCCCCCTCACCATTACACCAGCAGCCTGAACCGTTGATAGATCCATGCTTTCATGTTGTTTATACCAAATTCTTACTCTACCATCTGAATGTCGCAGCAACCAATCCGCCTATTTTCCTCTGACCTCTGACATCAACAAGGCATTTCCGTCCAAAAAACTGCTGCTCATTGGATATTTTCTCTTTTTTGGACCATTCTCTGTAAACCCTAGATATGGTTGTGCATTAAAATCCCAGTAGGTCAGCAGTTTTTGAAACACTCAGACAAGCCCGTCTGGCACCAACAACCATGCCACGTTCAAAGTAACTTAAATCCCCTTTCTTCCCCATTCTGATGCTCTGTTTGAACCTCAGTAAGTCGTCTTCACATCTATATGTCTAAATGCATTGAGTTGCTGCCATGTGATTGGCTGATTAGCAATTTGTGTTACCAAGCAATTGTACCTAATAAAGTGACCGATGAGTGTATGTGTTGCTCAGACATCTTTGATGTATATATTCTATTTGATAGTATTGTCATAATAATATTTTTATTATTGCTAATATTCTCTATTTCTAATGCATTGACATATTATCCAGTAGTAAGTAAATTGCAAATTAAAAAAAAAAGAACAGATAAGACAGAGCAAGAAAGAAGAGAAAAGGACCCATGCCAATACTTTAAAAAGTGGGGAACACTCGAAACACATGAATAAAAGAGAATGCTGTGGCTGGAAGGCATGAGGGTTTATTAGTAAGCATAGGGATTCATAATTAGTTGCTTGAATAGAAACATGATTGGCAGGCAATATTTGTGAGGTGGATTTTGAGGTCCCCTTTAAAGATGGGGAAACGTTAAGATTGGGAAGGAAAAAGCTCAGTGGTTGCTGGAAAGAAACTTTAAAATCTTGCAAAGACAGATGTTAGAAGTGAGAGTATATACGATGATCAGTGAAGATCAGACCGAAGAGGGTGGTTTAAAGAACATTTTTGACAAGATCTGAAATGGTGGAGGTTGTGAGTTGTTTTGAAGGCAATATTTTCAATTAATCTTAGATTAAAGTTCAATTGGAATTCAATTCATCATGATTTAAAAAGTTTTCAATTCATCTTAAATTTTGAAACCAGAACAGAGACTGACAAAATGGGGCAGCATGTGTGGCTGGTGGTAAGGGTAGATAAATCGTTTGTCCATGTTAATATTCATATTGGCATATAAAAAAAAATGAATGGCTTAAGGATAGCTGGTATAAACAGATTAGAAAAAAAGTGGAGCTGCTCCTTAAAGCATGATGAAAATGAGCTCTCTTGCAATGAGTGAGACAGTCATAAACTATATAATAATATGAATTCCAACCCTTGTTTCCCCATCATGAGTATTAAGATATAAAAATTAGGTACTAAAAAGATCTCACATAGACATTTTTTTTATAATTATCCTTTCCTTTCACATTATTTTTTTAAAAGTTGACCGTTGATTTAAAAACTGAAAACAGAATCCTACTTGTTCAAAATCTTCCAGGAGTTTCTATTAAAATAACATATATATATATATATATATATAAAATGTGTGTATATATATATATATATATATATATATATATATATATATATACATATATAATTGAATTTAGTGGACATAATGATTTTGCACACAGCATATTCTGTGTTAATAAATTCCAATGAGATTATATTACCCTATCTCATTTCTACAAAGCCACTTGGGAAATACAATCACCACAACTATCCACTCAAGTACAATTACTATACATAAATTGCTACATATTCTATATATTTTATATATATATATTACTTTTTATCCCCTATAGTGGGACAGTTTTATTAGATACGGTGTTTATTTCAATGTATCAGTGCCCATGGTAGCAATTTAATATATGTGTTTTAAAATTCATTGAATAAGACGCAATAATGTCCAATTTTTGTTTTAACTGACATCTGACATTATTAAACATGAACGTGTTTTATTTTAGAATATGTTTATAATTTTTCAATTACTTTTTAAATTATAAAATATATTAATGAATTTGAACACTTTCACATGAGAGAATTCCAAAGACGATGCTGAAAACCGATATATATATATACCGATTTTTTCTTCTCTCCTTTTTAATGTTTTTTTTTTTACCATTTTTACATTATCTTGCTAAGTTTATGGGGATTTTAGAAGCACCTTTGTAGGAGAAGCACAATTTTCATCCAAATTTTCTTGTAATGTGTGTTTTTAGTTTTAATTACATTATATCAGAAGTGTTATGTAACAACAGAAACATATACACGAAGCAATAAAACTCTCTTTTGTTCTGCATTACTCGGGGTATTATTAAATATCCAGTAAAAATCGGAGCTCCGCTATCCTTGCAATGTATCAATACAACTAAAATATATCAATACAACAACTAAAGGGTCATTAATAATAACTGGAAAGCCAATAAAGAAAAGGACCCGTTAATAAAATGTTACGAATTTTTTGCTACATTATAGTCAGCTTCTTTGGGGATCTCAAGGTATACATGTATATCATGTTGCTAAATTGTATACAAAACTTGATTTTTCAATATAAAATATCTGGTTAAAAAGCGCCTATACCAGTAATGTAAGTATTGTCATTATTATAAAAAAATAACTTGAATTACTACATTTTGCAATTTCTTCATGAGAATTTACAATGACATCTTATTCCTTCCAATACAATCTATTTTAAAGGCAGCGATAATACAGTATAAATCTTGCTGCGCTGCACATCCTTAGGAGGGGGGTTAGTAAATTCAGTCTTACAGTCTGTAATGCTGAGCATAATATATTATTTATCATCCTGTCGTATAAAATGCTTATGCCCCGAACTGTTTGCCTTTGCATCATTCTGCCAGCTGAATTCCATTTCATTCGGAAGTTTCATTTGCAGTTTATACCGATGTCATAATCTGTGCCATACAATTATCACTGTGTTTTGTATGGAAATAGAGAACTTTGGTCATTCCTCTCAGGGTATGGGTTTGGTAATGTAGAAAATATGCCATTACTGATATATTATGCCATTGTAAAGCAGGAATTTCCCAAGTGGTATTTACAATCATGAACAAATGATAGCAGCTATCATTTCTTTATGATGTATGGGATGTCATGTTAGATAGCTGTGGCTTGAACCCTTGGCATTATTCGAAAATTGGTATTTAAAATCAATATATTAATAAACATAATAAATAATAATAATATATTTTTGGAATGGGCAGGGCAAGCATATTACGTATAGGGTGTGAATAGGATACTTATTTCAAGTCTTGCTGGTTATTTGAATTTCAATCTTGCCTTGTTTGCAATGTCTAGCACTGCATCTGACTTGCAAGATAACATTTTAATAAAGGCGAATTACCTCTTAGAGTGTAAGCTCCAAGGATCAGGCCCTCCTATCCCTCTTGCATTGAACTGTATTGTTGCTGTATTGTCTACCTTTATATTGTAAAGTGCTGAGCAAACTGTTGGCGCTACATAAATCCTGTATAATAATAATAATTATTATTATTATTAATATACAGGATTTATATAGCGCCAACATTTTGCTCAGCGCTTTACAAAATAAAGGGAGACAATATTATATTATTAAATATAATAATAATAATATAATGAATAGCAATAATAATAATAATAGTGAATTCCACCTCAAAATATCTTGCAAATCACATGCTCACTTATATCCTTCATTGATCCCAGGCGAATGTGCCCAATACAAATCTAAATTATGGTATTGTCCTCTCCCAGAATGTAAGCAAATAATTAAGGAGTCCAATATTATTTTTGGCATAGTGGTAGCTGGAAGAGATCACTGTGGGGAAACCTTGTCATTGGAAGCTTCAAGTCATACAAAAAATCTATAGCCACCCAAAAATTAAATCTTAGTTTTAAGCGGAGTTGCTCTTAAAGAAGATTCCAATTCTGCAAAAAAAATTATTATTTTATGCAAATTTAGTAAACGTACAGTCCTTTCCAATGGAAATATTGGTTGATGAGCAAGGTAATAGATTGGAACTATTCAAATCTGGTTTTTATTTAAACATAACCTAGCAGGCTCATATAGGTAATGAACAATTTTTTTTGTTTATATATTGTTTTTTTTACATGGCAGTGCACCTTTTAGATCTGTGCATTATCCTGATTTCTATTTAAGCCCATAATTAATTAAACAATTAAAAAAATGTAATCTCATAGTATGTGCTTTGCATTTACAACCCTAATACCGAAAAAAAAATTGAAGGCAAAAAGAGCCAATGATAATGATGTTCTGCCAAGTATTCTACATCACACTAACCAATCAGAAATGACCTTTATACAGACTGGGAATACATTTAAACTGAATGGCTGCTGTGCTGAGTACATTGCCAGTGTCGAAGCATCTCTGAGATGCCCCTAATCTAGACTCACATAATCTATTGGTGCAGTGCAATGAAGACAATGTGCTGGGATTTTTGAATCTATGACAGGTAACTGTTTCTTTTCAAGGATACAATATCAACTTTGCACACTTTGAAGCATGTTGGTGCAGCAGTGTTATGGTGGCTACACACGCTTCCATTTTATCATCCGATCAATGGGGATTATTTAGTAAGACTGGAGAGTGCAAAATGTGGTGCAACTCATAGAAACCAATCAGCTTCCAGGTTTTATTGCAGAAGCTCAACTGAACAATCTGAAGTTAGAAGCTGATTGGCTACAATGCACTGCAGCACCAGATTGTGAGTGCTCCAGTTTTAGTTAATCTCCCCCTTAATACATGGTACAATTTTGGAACTAATCGACAAATAACTGAATAGACATGAAATCCTTTGCAATTGAGACTTTTTTTTTAGATCCGATCATACTGGGTCTTTTGGCCAGGGTGGAAAAGTATTGATCAGTGTGCATTAAGGGCAGCAGAAAGATACTTTAATCATCATGAATACGACTGTATTTTAAGCGGATTATGAGATTAAATGATTGAAACAGAGATGTGATTGGTGATTTGCACCATAAATTAAAATGGTATCTTGTCAATCAGAATCCACTTAGGAGCATATCGTTAATATAGATTGTTGAATATAGATTGATTATCCTAACTGGAAGAGATCAATCAGGAAAAAAATAATTATTTATTGAATCAAGTATAGCCACCATTAAACAGGCACCTTGCCATTAATACTGACAGACATTGGACCACAGATCCCACAATCTTGCTGCAGAGTATAGAATGACCTCCAGTGTAAAGATGCAGAGTAGGCAGCCACTACATACAACAAGGTCACCTGCTAAACAACCTGAAGACACAGTAGTCAAGGAGCCATACTAAAAATAGGAGCAACATTAATAAATAAAAATCCTCATGGAGCTGTGTCTTCTCAAGCTTGAATGTGATCATAATTTTACTAACCACAAACATTGCCTCTGTTTAGCAATATGTCCAACAATTGAGTTTATTATCTCGTTATAGAGCTGTCATTCTGCATAATAAATACCTAATACATAGATGTCAACAGTTTAAGATGATGGGCAGGAACTCTTCTTCACTAAGGAGATGATCTAAGCCTGTCAACTTCAATATGGTCTATAGCTGGCCATACATGGTACAACCTGATTTGTACAGTTTCTGTACAACCTGCTTTATGGTGGCCATACATAATTGAATAATTCTACACAGAATAATTTTAATGAATTATTGATAACATACCTTGGGGGGATTTACTAAAATGGGTGCACACAGAATCTGGTGGAACTGTGCATACTAACCAATCAGCTTCTAAGTTCAGCTTGTTCATTTGAGTTTGGACAGTAAAACCTAGAAGCTGATTGGTTACCATGCACAGCTGCACCAGATTCTGCGTGCTCCAGTTTTAGTAAATCTCCCCTGTTGCGTCATTCATCAATTCCGAACAAAACGGACTGAACTTATATTATGACGATCAATCTCAATAGGTTTAGTACATATATTGTGATCAATCTAAACAGGTTTAGTACTTTGTGCCTGCTTTGATTTCTATTTCCAGGGACATGTGGCAAAAACCCAGAGCTGTCCCTGAAAATTTGGGACAGCCAGTTACTAAGACTTACCATACACGATACAATCCAAATGTAAAATTCTCTTTAGACCCACCATCAATTATGTAGTGCAAGGGTCTTTCTGATTTGAGACTAATTGAATTGGTTGTCTAGGTTTATCCTCATTTTCAGAGTCCTTCATCATTTTTGGGGCTCTTCTGCACTTGCAGCCATAGGGCAGCAGAATAGGCAGTTGAGCTACAGTTTTACTCCCCATGACCATTCCCTTTAGCTCAACACAGCAGCTGAACAGGGTTGTACACATGTATGACAAACATTATACCACCAGTGTTCAGTCGGCAGTACTTCTGCTGAACGTGACCCATTCTAGTGAACTGGGTCATGCCGCGACTGCAACCGCATACTCTTGTGGCATGGTGGTGCAGGCCTTTAAGGGTTAACACAGGCACTAAGGGGATAAAATATTGCCTCCCAGCTGCCCTCTAAAAATACAATCCACTGCCAATCACTTTTCAGATGGACGAAAAAGGCTGCCGCTAATGTAAAGAAGATTGTGCAGAGCTTATACAATCAGATTGTATAGTGTATGGCCAGCTTAAGGCTCAAAGGCAGCCCAGGACACTGGAGTTGTACAGACCAACTCCAGTTGAATACGATATGCCACGACCTGGATAAATGAGAACTTTCGCAGACAGACCCAAAAACTTTGATCAGTGTGCCCTAAGAATAGAAGAAATGGCACTTACCTACAGCCCAGTGGCTACCCCTGGGGGACATTTTGGAGAGAGTGGCTGGGTCAGGGTGCTGTTGGGAAGGGGCAGCCTCTGAATGGACCTTGAAGAGGATGAGAGAGCAGAGGATGAGAGAGAATGGGGTGCGATATCTCCAGAAGATCAGAACTCTTTCCATCATGGAACTCTATGGGAGGGAGCTGTCCAAGGTATTGAATTGGAGAGCTGGACACTGGGTGCTGTCTATGGTGCTGAAGATGAGAGCTGAGCTGTCTATGGTGCTGAAGATGAGAGCTGAGCTGTCTATGGTGCTGAAGATGAGAGCTGAGCTATGTCTATGGTGAGCTGATGCTGTGTACAGGAGCTGTCAGTGGTCTATGGGAGGCTAGACTGGGAGTGTGGATAGCCTTTTTCCTCCCTGGATCCTGTGCAACTCTTCTACCTCCTCCTCTCTCAGCAGCATTTATAAGTGAAGGAGGGATGTCTGTTGTCAGAATTCATCAGACTGGCACCTCCTCCACAAGTATCTTGCTGACCTCACCAAGCCATTGACCTGGTATCTACCAACACTCTGTCTGAGTCATGTATGCCAATATCACCTGCAGTCCTTGTCAATCAAATCTCATTGCTATTTGTTTCCAGTAATAAATCTTCCTCTGCTGCTTCTTTCCTGTTAGGAGCTCCAGTGTGTTAATTCTCACACCTTTCACCAAATCTTCATCACCGCTGTTTGCACAGCGTGCGTAAAATCAGCTCAACAGTGAATGAATGAGGGGGACAGTTGACAAGTGATACTATAGATACATGACATTTTGTAATTAAATTAGTCCAGATGACTTGCAAGAAACCCATATAGCATGTAGCGAGTCCCTATCTCTACGCACATTCTTCATTCTGCTTATTGTCAGAGCCAAATGTCAGGTATGTCAATATTTCTACAATGTAATATTGCCTTTGTAGAGCACTCTGCAGAAAGGTACTAATATAACATTGAATGTTGGTAGAGATTTATTAAGAGCTTTTTCATAAGATGGGAACCTAAAGGTAGTTTTAAATATTTATTCTATGTATTGATACAGCACTTTACATATTGTACATTCACATCCTTTTCTGTCTTCAAGAGCTTATAATCTAAGATTAGAGATGAGCTGAACTGCCCTGGGTTACGTTTTGCGAACTCCAAAGAAATTTGAATGCCGAACTGTAACTCAATAGGAGTCGAATCTGCCACATCAAAAATGCCCATTTTATGGGCTAACTTGTAAAGGGTTGTCAACAAATAGCATGGGAGGAGAAGGCATTGATCTGAAGGACATGTACCAATGCAAAAAAAAAATGTAAAATTTAATTTGGCCAGGAGCAGTAATTGTTTTTAAAGCAGTGATATTCAAAAAGAAACAATGGTTTAAATGGCCGGCAAATGACATTTCCCTGCTGGATTCTTAAAAAAAAAAAGACACAAAGGGGTTTATTTACTAAAGCTGGAGAGTCCAAAATCAGACTCCCTTCTGCATAGAAACCAATCAGCTTCCAGGTTTCATTGCCAAAGCTTCATTGAACAAGCTGAGGTTAGAAGCTGATTGGTTTCTATGCAGAAGGGAGTCTGATTTTGGACTCTCCAGCTTTAGTAAATAAACCCCAAAGACTCCTTCAAAGGTACTCCAAAATACAAAGTAGTATACTAATTTTTCTGGCAATTCAAACTATATTTTTTTTCTATGTGTCACTTTTGCTGTAACACATTCTACAGCAAGAATAAAAAACACAATTTTGAGTCTGGTATATATTTTAAGGGGGTACCCCGCATAAAAAAAGCATGTATGAGGTCCCCCAGGAAATCCATAAAAGACCTTTTAACTCTGGTATGGATTTTATTGCCCCACACACAAAATAGAAAAAAAAATGCATTGAGTCTTCCTAAAATGCATACCAAACCCTTAACCCGGGAGGGGACAGATGTGCATTTCCCCTCCTGAACCGTACAAGGCCTTGTGGAGGGGGGAGGGGGGTACAAGAGCCTCTTCCAAACAACCCTGGCCTGGTGGTTGCCAGGGTCTGTGGGGCTTATCAGAATCTGGAAGCGTTTTTAAAATAAGAAGGACCCTAGATAAGAGCACTCCTTTTCATTAACAAAAAATAACGTACCATATAAATAAAGACAGCCAAACATTTTACAAATCCTTTATTAGCTTCCAAGTTGTCATCAGCTATATAAAGGAATGGGGCAGGGATAGTAGTGACATCATTGACCAAATATGGCCATGGCCATAACTGGTTAATGTCATTGAACAAATTTAACCAGTGACCTTGTGCCAGCCATGTAAGTCAATATGCCAGTAACATCAATGGTCGCTAGAGATGCATTAACAGTGGGAAGCTGTCATAAATGGAATCAGTAGAAATACTGCTTCTATACAGTATATGATGCTCAGCTCCTGCCGAAGGGGGCAAAACCAGCAAACCTAGGATCGGATTGAATTGTTGGCTCAATTTGTTGGCCAATTTAGACTAAAACCAATGAAACTACAAATATGTCTTTGGAATGTGGGATGAAACCTCTGCAGAGCCAGGGTCAACATGCAAACTCCATGCAGATAGTGTCCTGACTGAAATTTGAACCAATGACCCTAGTGCCACAAGCAGGCCCAGATGACAAAAAATAGGCGACCAATTTTTACGGGGGGGGGGGGGGCGTTCGCAGGGCAGTTGGTGATGGAATATTCACAGAGTCGTGGAGTCGGTCCTCCGCACTGTAATGTAAAGGAGCACTGTGATATAAAGGGGACTGAACGGTAAAGGAGCACTGTATTGATTACAGTGCCCCTTTACAGCTCAGTCCCCTTTATATCATAGTGCCCCTTTACATTACAGTGCCCCTAGAGATCTAATCACAGTGCCCACTATATATTCAAAGAGATGGCCCAATCCAGCAAAGAGACATCCCCATATAGCAAAGAGACAGCCCAGTCCAGCAAACAAACATCCCCATTTAGCAAAGAGACAGCCCAATCCAGCAAAAAGACATCCCCATATAGCAAAGAGACATCCTAACTAGCAAAGAGACAGCCCGTCCAGCAAAGAAAAAGCCCGTCCAGCAAAGAGACAGCCCATCCAGCAAAGAGACATCCTGCCCAACAAAGACACAGCTTGTACAGCAAAGACACAGCTTGTCCAGCAGAGACAGCTCAACCAGTAAAGAGACAGTCCATCCAGCACAAGGACAGCCCATCCAGCAATGAGACAGCCCATCCAGCAAAGAGACATCCTGTCCACCAAAGTGACATCCTGCCCACCAAAGAGACATCCTGCCCAGCAAAGAGACAGCCCATCCAGCAATGAGACAGCCTATCCAGCAATGAGACAGCCCATCCAGCAAAGAGACAGCACATCCAGCAAAGAGACATCCTGCCCAGCAAAGAGACAGCCCATTCAGCAATGAGACAGACCATCCAGCAAAGAGACAGCACATCCAGCAAAGAGACATCCTGCTCATCAAAGAGACAGCCTGTTAAGCAAAGAGACAGCCCATCCAGCAATGAGTTAGCCCATCCAACAATGAGACAGCCCATCCAGCAAAGAGACAGTCCATCCAGAAAAGAGACAGCCCATCCAGAAAAGAGACAGCCCATCCAGCAAAGAGACAGCCCATCCAGCAAAGAGACAGCCCATCCAGCAATGAGAAAGGCCATCCAGCAATGAGGCAGCCCATCCAGCAAAGAGACATCTCATCCAGCAAAGAAACAGCCCATCCAGCAAAGAAACAGCTCATCCAGCAAAGAGACAGCTTACCCAGCAAAGAGTTCACCCTGAAAAGAGACAGCCCAATCCACCGCCAAGCTGTTATGGTGTGCCAGCTGGTGAAGGAGAGAGGCTGCCATTGTCCCCTTCAGTGTGGCTGTGTGCAGCAGCCAGCTGAGGAGGTGTCTGTGTGTCCTGCCTGTCACTGGAGCCGTCACTGCCACTCCTCCTGGCAGCCCTGGTTTGGGCATAGCTGAACAGCGGGAGGTGAGTGGAGGCTGTGGTCTGTGTTAGCTCTACCCAGTATGGCTAGTCAAACATAGCCATACTGGGTATCTTTATCATGCAATTTATACTTTGATGGTGATGCTGTACAATGACCTTGGATGATGTATTGTATGTTATTACTACAGGATAAAATAATTTCTTGACGCAATAAAAAGCTTGTACTTTTTATAAAACTTTTTTCGGTATATATTTATTACTTGTTTGTAATGTCAATAATGCTCAATAGTGAAAAATCAATAACAAGTGAAATTAACTAAATCCACAAGTGTGACTAAAATAAATGTGCAAATCTATTAAAATCTCCATACAATGTCCATATGAATATGTGACCACAAAGTGCAAACCCAATGAATCTGTAAACCAGCATCAGTTTTCCACCACTATCAGCTTACCAGAAACAGAGATTTTTAAATGGGAGGTCAAACAGTGCTGAGGCAATGGCACAACCACTGGTGGATAACTGAAGAGCCCTCCTGCAGTTCACAACTTCAGCAAAGGTTGCGCAAGTATAGTAACATACACAGTAGGAAACAACAAAGGAGCTGGCATAGTGTAGTAAAAACCACCCTTTTTTGATATAACTTGTACTTACAACCACCAAAGGAAGTATCAGTGAAAAAAAAAAACACAAGCACCGCTCAACTGATGACATCTACGCAAGCTCCGACGCATTTCGTCATAAAGGATGTTGTCTCAGGGCTGGTGAATTGGACTTTAGACTTCATTTGGACCTTCTAATATATTTGCACATTTATTTTATTTACATTTGTGGATTTAGGTAGTTTCACTTGCTGTTGATTTTTCACCATTAAGAATTATTGACAACGCAGCAAGGATGTCATTTAGGCATTTTAATATATTTTTACCAAAGAAATGGTATTATATGGTGTTTGGGTGCAAAAAAATTAATTTTAGTTTATTTTTAACTGAAAGTTTGTGTTTGATAAATGGCTGCAGAAATATTGTGTTACATAAAAAAATTCCAACAGCCACCATTTTATTCTCCAGGGCCTCAGCTTTTAGAAAATATGTAACAGTTGGGGATTCTAAGTAATTTTCTAGCAAAATGTGCTGGTTTTAACATGTGTGAAAAATGTAAAAAAAAAATTGCCCTGGACAGCGGAGTTACAGTAGCTAATGTACTTAGATTAG